CACTGAACCTGTGCATGTTTGTGTTCCGTATAGAAAACGCATGCAAGAGAGTGACTGTGGGCATTTATGTATATTTGTGCTGTGAAACCAAAGGAGGCTTAACAAACTCTCAATTATTTGTCAGCACAAAAGGACATTAATTTGCACTGAACTTTGATTTCATTTGTTTTATTTTTACCCTCAGGTTCCAAAAATGAAAAGGTAACCCTGCTTTGAATTTGGTACGGCTGACTTTTGAGTGAAGTCTATTGTAAGCAGTTATATGTATGTATCTCAGCCCAAGTCCATCCCTGTTTTCCCTCCTAGACAAGACACCGACCAAGAAAAGACCCTCTGCCTGGTATGAAGCACCCAGCGATATCGTCTTGCCAAGGTTTACTCCCCGAGTCCAATCAACCTTTGATCCCAAACCCATCAGCTTGCAATCGGGAGCTGGACCAGATGGTAAGAGAATAACTTCATGAGATTCTGTCATAAATTGGCTCGTCGATGGGATCATTTTAATCAGATCCTGAGTAGCTGGACAGCACTGGATCATTCATCAGAAAATTTCCCAACTTCCCCCTACCCCATACCTGATTACAGGGTTCCATCAGTGATGTTAGGATGCCCCTAGTGATGTTAGGTTTTTATGTCTGTGCTGGGCATCTGCACAAGCCCAGGTGAAAAGCGTCCCACCAGCCTCTCTCTTCTTTGCTTGTGAGGGCGCACTTTAACTCAGGTTGGATAGATATGTAGTGTTCGTTTATATAGCACACAGCTGCTCATGAACCTTCAATTTTTTTCTGTTGAGATTAAAACCTTACAGCATCCAAACATCACTGTAACCAGTCAAGGATACATAGGCAGGTTGGATCAAGAACCACTAGTTAATTAGTGGTTAGCGTGTAACATACCTAGTGCATGTGCATTGAAGTTTAAGTGCAAACACCTTAGTCAACCATTGTCATGTCATTAGGTCAAAGGGGAGAAAAGCTGGCTACAGGAGGAGCAAAGTACCAAAAACAAAAGTGAAAATGTTTGTTTACTAGAGACATCCGGCATTTTTCTTATAACTGGTCCTCTGCACTGTGCTGTTGTTCACCTTAAAATTTTACGCACAGTTCTATAGCATGTGTATTGAAACCTCTATGTAAGTTATGCATGCATGTTTGGGCCAAATGTGGATCAAAAATGGCTTCCTCTCCTTGTCACCCATTTCTATACCAGATAATTTATGCTTTGCTTTTTGGAACACTTTTGGCTGACCTGCAGCACTACTGTTTGATTGCCTACTTATCCATGCAACCTTCAGACCCATGTGTTACTGCTCATCATGATGTGCAGGTTGTTTCTACACTTGATTAGATGTGTGATATCGAGGATACCGCCTTACAATAGGCCATACTGCTTACGTAAAAGAATTTTAATTGAGCATAGTTTTGGTAACCAATGGAGACGTTGCAGACAGTATCGCCAAACAGCCTTGAATTATATGATGCAATCAGATGGACTGACGCAAACAGAAGCACGGGCAGTCAGCAAAGTTGGATGTCATTCAACTTTGCTGACTCTCTGCGTCAAATCATCAGAGTAGGCTCCCACAAACGTGATGGGTGCACAGCAATGCCCCTGTTACTTCAGCACTGTAATGTAGTTTCATCTTCTTTACGACGAAACCGTTGTACTACAGACAAACTCACACGATCACGCTTCTCTGCTAATCTACATGTATCCTCTGCTAATCTACATGTATACTTATTTATTTCTACAGTAGTGCTAGCAGATGTGATACACAGCAAGTTAAAATCTCGAAGATCCTCTTCCCCTCTCTCTCCTCCTCTTTATATCCCATCATATTCCCATCTCATTTCTAAGAAAACATCTGTGCACTTCCAAAAGGTCAGTGTGGTCAGTCCAGGATATAGTGTGGTCAGCCCCGACCACTTCCAGTCCCTTAGATTTCATTTTTACGACCTTCTCATGAGCCCAGTTTCCGCTTTAATTGACCACGACCTTCCCCTACATACTTCTGGTCCCTTACTCAGAATTGCTTCATGACAAGCTTAATGATTAGTATGATGTACTAATATTTTGAGAATTTTGCAAGCATCATCCGGCACCATCAGGTTAATGACTAAGTGCCTTCTTGTCTAACAGGAAGCCCTAATGGAGATGATGTAGTTATCCCACCTGCTGCCCCCGATTCACCATTACAATTAACAGAAGCTTCTTACATGGACATGATTGACAAACATCAACGTACCAGGAATGCTGGCATGGTAACCTTCATTTTTGTGTTCAAAGAATATAGCACTGAGCATGTGATCCCCTGTGATCTGATAAATTGGTAAAGCAAACACATTATCTTACATTCTTGCCGTGGCAAAAATTGCATTTTTTGACTGATATTAGTGTTTGCCACATGGAGTAAAGCATTCAGTTTGTCTCTTCATGAAGCTATGCTTATAATTAAAAATTTTCATTATTTTTGTGATAACACATCCACAAATGGAGGTACTTTCATCTGCTGCATATACCTGTTGCTGTCAACTGTAGCAAAGATGATGTTTGAAATATTGAAGGGTTAAATTTTGGGGTTTTTTAATTTTATTTTTATTTATTTATTTTTGGGGGGGCCTTTGAGAAAGATTCAGCTAGGATTGAAACGTCAGGCCCTCCATATTTTGTGATTTGTATTTTAGGTCATTGTAGTCAGCAAGTAGTTTGCAGCAGTTTTGTATTACATAACTTTGGAAGGTTTAAACTGTCGCTGTGTATTTCCTGGACAACGTTGGGGTTGGCAAAACAAGTTATGTTTGTCCGTCAGTACAGGAAAACCATTGATCATTGTTTGGAGATCATCAGAGTCAGTCACAGGTCCATTTACAAGTCAGTCAGTCAAATGATAAACTGTGACCAAAGTAGTCCTTTGTCATTGACCTGTGGCAGACTCGACTAAAACATTGCCAATAAGACTACATTCAATTGTCTCGTCTTGCTTGGATTCAATCTAGGATCACTTTGAGTTGGATACAAGCAATATCACATTGGAAGAAGTCATGACACGAACCTTCTCCACCCAGAACTCACCCATTGTACCCTCACGAGGTTAGATTTCATGGAATTTATATTTGTCAGTATTTTTCCTTCGTTTCTGTATGTCATGAGTGCATGGGAAGAAATTCACGGCAGTGGTGCATTGGGTGGTGCATCATAATCTTCGAGTAAAGCAATCATTTTAACCGATTGTTGAGTTTTTATCATTAAAAATTAGTCACTTCCATTAAAAATGTATTGAAAACAAACATTGCAGCAGCAACCAGACTATCAAAGCGAAAGGAATTTTAAGCTCATTTGAAAATCTACAGTGCCTCATCGCCATCAGAAGATTCAGAAATGAAGTGTTATTCAAAAGCTGACTTGCAATCTTATATTTAATAACAGTAGACTTTTGTGTTGTGTATTACATTAATTTATGCAAAAAGCACACAATTGGAGTGCGCTTTACAGAAACTGTAACTTGAAGTTTCTCAGATACTTGCTGACCCATTACTCCTGGTGTATGTTTTCTCTGACACACCATGTACTTCGTTTTATTCTGTGACAGACTTCCGTGATAAATCCATGCAGCTGTCACAAAAACGGAAAGCCAAGATCAAGGACAAACTTGCCAAGAAACGGAAAAAGGGGAGACCTCCGAAGGCCACCACGCCCATCTCCGTGATGTCCATGGAAAGTCGCACCTCAGTGGCCACCACCGAGTCCTCAGGAAGTGTATCCACCAACCAGGAGGGGCCTACGGTATCTATGGATGTTGGGAAAGATGAAGATGTCAGCAGTGTGCAGAGGTAAAGTGTTGAGCGGTGTTTTTATATGCCAGCAGTGTGCAGAGGTAAAGTGTTGAGCGGTGTTTTTATATGCCAGCAGTGTGCAGAGGTAAAGTGTTGAGCTGTGTTTGTATGTCAGCAGTGTGCAGAGGTAAAGTGTTGAGCTGTG